CTCCCTCGAGGGGCGCGGCCGGGCCCCCCAGGCGCAGCACTGGCACTGAGAAGAGCTCTGGGAAGGAGCCGGGGGGGGGACAGTGACACCAACGCCACTGGGGAGGGGGGGGCTCTGCCCCGCCGGGTGGGTGCTGGGGAGGGGGTGCTCACCTTGCACCGCCACCGTCACCAGCGCTGATTCCTGCCACCCCGGGATGAGGCCCATGGTGGCCTGGCAGCGGTAGCGCCCACTGTGGTGCAGCTGCAGGGCGGGCAGGAGCAGCTCGGCCCCCCAGGAGGGCCCCCCCAGCACCTCCTGCTCACGCAAGAACTGCACCTGGGTGATCTTCCTGCCATTCCAGCCCCGGCAGCGCAGCAGCAGCTCGTCCCCCTCCACCAGCGCCCGCACCGGCACCTGCAGCACCAGCCAGTCTGCAAGAGAGGGCCGGTGCATGGGGATGCAGCAGGTGGGCTCCCGTTGCATGGGGATGCACCGGTGTGCACAGGGATGCAGCCGGTGTGCATGGGGATGCACTGGCGTGCACGGGGATATGCTGGTGTGCACGGGGATGCACTGGCGTGCATGGGGATGTGCTGGCATGCATGGGGATGCACTGGTGTGCACGGGGATGCACTGGCGTGCATGGGGATGTGCTGGCATGCATGGGGATGCACTGGTGTGCACGGGGATGCACTGGCGTGCATGGGGATGTGCTGGCATGCACGGGGACGCACTGGTGTGCATGGGAATGCACTGGTGTGCACGGGGATATGCTGGTGTGCATGGGGATGCACCCAGTGATGCACAAGGGATGTGCCCATTGTGCACGGGGATGCACTGGGGTGCATGGGGATGGGCTCCTGTCACACAAGGGGCGAGAGGCTGTGAAATAGGGCCCACCCAGAACCCTCGGGGCACCCGTGGGTGCCAGGGTGGGGGCACCCATCCTGCCTCTCACCATTTGAGAAGCTCAGGGTGATGGGGGGGCTGAGCCTGGCTCTGGGGCTACGGCACCGGTAACTGATGTTCCCGGCGTGCTTTTTGGAGACATGGATGTAGTTGGGTCCTGTGCGCTGCCAGAGCTGCTCATCGAGGTACCACTCGGTGGGGCCGGGCACACCAGAGCCCCGGCAGGTCAGCGTCACCTCCTCCAGCAGGAACACCGGCATCCAGGGGGGGTCCAATGTGAGCTGGCTGGGCTGGGTGCCTGTGGGGTGACAGGGGACACCAGCCTGCCAGGGCCACCGGGGGTGTCTGGGGACAGCGGGGTTGGGAACTGGCAGCGAGGACTCACCAGCGAGGCTGAGGACTTGGGCTGGAAGGGAGAAGGGGAGGGGGCTGGGTGGGGGCTGCTGCCACGGGGATACCAGCACCCGGGGGACAGGGTGCAGGGGCTGTCCCCAGGCTGCCCCCGCGGGGACACTGGCACCCGTGGGAAGGGGCACGGGGATGGTCCCCAGGGCAGCTGGGAGAGCCCGGGGTACACAGCTGCGTCAGAGCCGCCCACGTGCCGCATCTGTGTGGCATGGCCAACTCAGGCTGGTGCAGGGCTTGGGGACACCACCGCCACCCCAGGCTGATGCAGGGCATGGGGACAGCTCCACCAGCCACACGGCACCTCTCCCCACAGCCCCATCCCCATGGCCCTGTCCCCACAGTCCCATTCCCATGGCCCCCGTCCCCATGGCCCCATCCCCACAGCTGTCCCAGCCCCATGATGCCGGTTGCCACATCCCTATCCCTGCGATGCCTGTCCCCACATCCCTGTCCCCACATCCCTGTCCCCATGTCTCCATCCCCACGGCCCCATCGTTGCCATGTCCCCAACCCCACAGCCCTGTCCCCATCCCCACAGCCCCCAACCACACGGTGCCAGCCCCCACATCTCCATCCCCATGATGCCTGTCCCCACAGCCCCGTCCCCATGGCCACCCCAGCCCACGGCCCCGGGCTTGCCGGGGGTACAACCCCATGGGCTGGCTCTGCTGGCGTTTTGGACCTTGGGGGACCCCGCAGCCACCCTGCGCTCCCTCCCCATGGGCCTGCTGGTGCCACCGGGCTCTGCCTCAACCCACTGCTCCCCAAAGCAGGGAGGGATCTGGGCACCCATCCCCGTGGCGTCAGGCCCCCTTGCCAGCCCCACGACTCGTGCCTGGGCACTCACCCCAGAGGAACAGCACCGCGCTCCTGGCCATCCCGGCACACTGCCGTGTGCTGGCCGGGCCACCTCCCCTTTGCATAGCAGCTATTTGGGGAAAGGGGAAGGAAGCCACTTCCCCGTCCCCGGGGCTTTGCCCCGACACCGGGGAACACGTACCTGGTGGCACGTGGTGGGGACGTGACAGGCACCGGCAAGGGACGGGCTTGGGTCTGGAGGAGCCGCTGGCCCCTTTGCCCCGGGGGGGTCCCTCTGGGCACTGGGACGCTCCCAGGACACAGGGCACGAGCGGCCCTTGCGAGTCCTGCACTCGTGAGGGGCTGAGAACCCGAGGGCTGGGACCCCGAGGGCTGGGACCCCGAGGGCTGGACTCCGAG